AAGTGCATTAGTTAAAGGCCAGATTGACCCTTGAATTTGCCGGCAGTGAGACAGGCTGGGCGCTGATTCCACTCTTTCCCCGACAGCGGCAGACGGTGGCGCGGGAATCCTGGCACCGGATTCACGGAGCGGACTGAAGGCGCAGGGAGGCTGCTGGAGCGGGCCCTCCTCTCCCGGCTGACAACCAGGGCGACGAGGAAAACCCCGGGCGGCACGACAACTGGACTAGACTGTCTGGTATTTTAACTCACAGAACTCAGTGACTGCCTCTGAGACTTGGACTTTTTTTTTTTTTTTATTAAAAAAAACCTTGATTGTTTCATGTTTTTATTGATAAATATTCAGTTTAAAATGCAATTGCTTTTAAAATAAATATTTTAACTCATCCGTGCTTCTCATTGTGTTGGTGTGGCCACTTATGTACCAAATTAAAGATGAATCTTTAATTGAATGTTCTGATTCCCGGCCACACTAACACAATGAGAAGCACGGATGAGTTAAAATGTTTAAATATTCAGTTTAAAATGCAATTGCTTTATCAATAAGATGAAACAATCAGGGTTTGGTTTGTTTTTTTTTTTTTAATAAAAATAAAAAAAGTCCAAGTCTCAGAGGCAGTCACTGAGTTCTGTGAGTTAAAATACCAGACAGTCCAGTCCAGTTGTCGTGCCGCCCGGGGTTTTCCTCGTCGCCCTGGTTGTCAGCCGGGAGAGGAGGGCCCGCTCCAGCAGCCTCCCTGCGCCTTCAGTCCGCTCCGTGAATCCGGTGCCAGGATTCCCGCGCCGCCGTCTGCCGCTGTCAGGGGGAAAGAGTGGAATCAGCGCCCAGCCTGTCTCACTGCCGGCAAATTCAAGGGTCAATCTGGCCTTTAACTAATGCACTTTCCTTTACAACATTACGTGAATGCCCATCAATTCAACATGCTGCCGTTCTCCGTCATCCAGGTCCGCTGCCCTCAACACACAGTAAAAAAAACAGGAACCACACTACCCACAGAGTAACTCACACACACCCAGCGAGGAGGATTGACTACTTTCCTTTTCGTGGAGGATTGCGAGCGTTGATCTAGAGTTTGGAGATCTTCTTCACCAAGCCAGGGAAACACCGTGGAGGGAAGTGTGGATCCAGTCCAGGAGCAGCAGCAGGAGAGTGAGAGGAGAAGGCGACAGCGACCTGTGCTCAGTCCAACGTCCCGCAGGTATCTGGTGCTTTCCTTTTTAAAAAGCCTGGGAGGAACAACCGGTGATTGCAAGCACTGATGTGATGAGGCTCAGGTGTGTCCATCTGCAGCCACAAGTGCCTTTGTTTACGTTTGAAGCGGGTAAAAGTCTAACACAGCACACAATAAATCAACAAACCATAAACACAATCACAATATAATAATCGCCTTTGTAGCGCACAGCAATGAATCAAATAAAAATCAATAAATCAATATTGTCCATCGCTTTCTTTAGCGCACAAAATAAACTATTTAAATAACAAAATATACAAGATACCCGATCATAACAATAAAACTCTAGCAATGTTTTGCGTCCTGTGACAGTAGTGATGGTGAAGTCATGTGGCCGTGGTGTAGTTTCTTTATAGCCTAACATTAGCTTTTTAGTTCTGGCTTCAAAAATCAGATTATCCTGCTGAACAAAATGTGTCAGTATCATAAACTCAGTTTATTTCTGCAATGATCTAACAGCCCATGTAAAAATCCCATAGGCTTTTTTGTGGAGGGAACCAGGGTGATAGCGTCTGGATACTTCATCCCTGCAGCTCTCTAATGGATATTATGGACTTTTCTCTAATGTTTGATTTCACCTCTCAGAGCCTTAAACAAAATTTAAATGAAATCATCAGAGCAGTTTGGAGGGAAAACTCACACATCTTTAACATGACACAGGGAGACATTTGTTTGTTCTTTAACAATGCAGTTTACCTTTATCTTATCATACTGTAATTGTTTTAATGTAAAGGTTAATCTCACTGGTAACTACAGCATTACTGAGCCTCAGTATTAAAACCACACATACTGAGTAAACCCACATTTCCAAGTGTTTTTTGTTAGTAATGTAATTAACATTAATTAATTTGCTTATTCAAGACAAAATGCAGAACAAGAATAATATATAATATTATACAGACTTTAAAGTGACTGTATATGTAGCCTATAGAAGGTATCGCATGCTTCTATGACACTGTGTGATTGTGTGAATTGTTTTTTACAATTAGTTAAAGAGAAGCTTTTTCTGTAACATGACTGATTGAAATTGCACAATGTCACAATTGAAAGGATTTTTTAAACCATTCAGTCAATGTGAAGTTACTACAAATTCAGTCAAGTTTGCACACATGCAAAGTTTACAAGTGGAAATTACATTGTGCCTTTCCTTTTACATCTTCGGATTACAGCACGTCTCACTGCAGTGTTGTTTGCAATGTAACTAACTAACTGTCCAACACATTAAGGTTCTATTAAACAGAAAAAGAAAAGTTAAAGCAGAAACAGCTAGAGTGGTCTTACCTCTCCAGTGCTTCAGGTGGGAATGAGGTGAGGAGTGTGTTCACCTTCAGATCTGCAGTTATTCCATTGTGATGTCACAGGAAGCACAACAGCAGTGGTTCTAGTTCTAATGGTCTGTTCTCATGCAGCGTTCTACTGGTGACACATGTTCCTTTGTACAAAGGTCACATGTTCAAAACATAACATGTAGCTAAGCACAGCTATATATATATATATATATATATATATATATATAGAGTAGGCTATATAAACATACTCAATGTAAAAATGCAAAAAAAAGTAAAATAGCAAAAAAAAGTATGTAAAAAAGAGTGTTTATATACTATATACAATCTATCTATCTATCTATCTATGAGATACTTCTAGAATGTACAATATGGTGTGGGGTTTCATTTCCAATATTTCTGATTGAGGGACAGAACAAGTCAAATACAGCGAGTCAGTACAAAGGACTTCTCAGAAAAACTGTGAACTACTTCAACTAAATAGTTTTTGAGTGATTCACTGTGTCAAAAGACCCCTCCAGAGAGCAAAAATAAAACCTTTTGCCTAACTATGATGTGGAATAAAACCCATTTCTGCCATAAATAGTTCAAAACACCTATACTGGACCTAGACTCTCTTAGACTACATGCACAAATACTTTTACTGTGTAGTTTCTGAGAATTTCAGCATCAAAGAACAAAAACAAGCCGTTTCGCCTAACTATAATGTGAGATGAAACCCATTTCTTTCATAAGTAGCTCATGAACCTAACATTTTTGGACTTATAAGTCTACTATACTAGACTTATAAGTCTATTATTCATAGACTGCAGAAATACTATGAACTGCTTTTACTGTGTAGTTTTTAGGTTATCCAACATTAAATTTCCTTCCACAGAAAAAGAATAAGCCTTTTTGCCAAACTTTGACGTAGGCTAAAAACCATTTCTTTCAGAAGTTCAAAAAATCCATGCTACTGGACTTAGTACTTCTTAGACAAAATGTTTCACCTAACTTGCTGGACTTATTAATACATAGAATTCATGCACAAATAGTATTAGCTACCTTTTCTGTGTATTTCTTGAATAATCCAATGTCAAAGCCAACTCCAGACTGGCAAAACATTCTCAGTGTTGAATACTTCCACCACCACGTTCCACTCTGGTTTACATACACAGGAGCATCAGTTCATTACACCTGTCTGTTACTGCCGCAAATCTGACACTGGATCATTTTTCAGATCATAGCAGTATGTCTTAGCCTACTCTAAGCATACAAGGCCACTGATAAAAATTCAGAAGTGTAGTGACCATCAGCCAGGAGCAGAAGACTGTAGTGGAGATAAAATAATAATATAATTTGTTATTAAATTGAAGTATTATTAGAGTTCTTTAGCAAAGCATGCCTAATAAATTAGCAACTGAGTGTATGTATGAAGTGAGCGCAGTATCATGTTCAAGATAAAACGAAAATGACATTAGGCCCCAGCGAGATTTGAACTCGCGACCCCTGGTTTACAAGACCAGTGCTCTAACCCCTGAGCTATGGAGCCGGTGATGCGCAGACGTCACTATCTCATCCTCTTAACTAGATGTTTCCATTGATGTTATACTGCTACTGCTAATATTAATTTTTTCTACATATTATGACGGTAAAACTCAATCTCTGTTGCGTGGTAGACGCTGGAAAACGCACCCAACCTTCACTGTCATGAAGAAGTAGCTTATATAGGCAACCCGGTTAAAGACAGTAAGAATAGGAGCCTCTATTGAAGTTATACCAGATATGGTATTAAAGTTACAGATACGCCTGGTAACATTAACTCAAGCCATGATATTGTATACTCGCCCTCAAAAAATACTTGATCTGCATTGAACATTCATGATTCTCGAATGTAACCTGCCTCAATAAATCGAGGTGAGATTCCCCATTTATCCACCAGGTGGGAGAATGTAACCACCTTCAAAAACAGTGCGTGTCTCCACTCTCCACATTACTCACAATAAAGAGGCTGGCTGTTGGTGAAATTTAAAGTTGCTTAAGGAGAAATTAAGTTTGATGCTTCTGCAACATACGTACCATAATTTCAGCCTGGTATTAATCGCATTTCACTTAAATGATGGCAGTTCTATTACAATTAAGAAAAAAATTGTCAAAATCTAATAAAAGTAGGTCACATAAAGTCTTAAAAGTAGAAGTCGACGGTGCTTTATCAACATGGGGGAGCCTGGCATGAAATGTCTTGGGAGCCACTCTTTGTATATCGATTGTCGGCCCTCGATTGCCGGGGGGGGGGGGGGGGTTCTGGGCGTGGTGAGGGGAAAGAGTCGGGGGACTGTTCAGTCCCCTGAAGCCACATACGAGGTTGCCCCACTGCGTGATAAAGATGGACGCGAAAGGATAGCATAATGATAAACGTGGAGTTTACTTCAACTCATCATGGACATACCAGTTTCTTACCCATAACCTCTTAGAGGAAAAAGATTCCTCTCTGAGTGGATTTTGCTTTTTATTATAAAGAGAAAGATGTGCGACCGCATGTGCGACCACCGAGGATAGAGGGGGAGAAAGAAGAGCCATGGTGGAGCCGAAAAGGTAGATTTAACCCACTAAGAGGTCTGTGGCGGTCCTGGATTTTGTACCAAAAGTCTTGGACTAGGAGAGTGGACCCAGAAATTCATATTAACAGGTGCGTATTCAGACCCTGTTGCTTTTTGTGCAGTGGTGAAAACAGTTTCACATAACTAAGTAGATAGATAAACAGTGTCACCACCATCAGGCTGCTGCATCAGAATATTAACACTACAATTAATATTAACACTGTAGTAAAAACTTATAAATATGATGCATAGCCTACGTGTAACAACACGTAAAGGCATCGCCCTGGGACCAAATATGACAGTTCGTTAGTTACATTTGTCTGTAATACAAACATTCATTATTGTGTTTAATTTTCCCGGGATCCAGACCAGTTGAACCTGTTCTGCTCTTTCCCGGGTTGGAAAGTCGTTTCTACCGAGGTTGCGCTGTTGGAAGCCACTACTTTCTCAACATTTCGGTTTACTAGGCCCCGAACTACGAGATAAAAAACACACATTAATCTTTATCTACACACTGCCGAGGCTGGCTCTGCTGTGATTTATATGCTGGTAGATGTATCTCTCGCTCCACAAGAAGTGACCACGGACGAGTTGGTGTTTAAAGGTATTTTCCCTACACCGAAGGGATTTCTTCCACCGTGGCAGGAATCCCATGAAGCGAAGAGGCCGTCGGCTGGAAACAAAACGACTCGCCGAAGAAGCTATCCGTGTGTCGGTTTTAAGACCGCTTTATTGTCTGTTTAGTCAGTGGATATTTTTGACATCGTGTTAATGTTCAAACAAAGACAATCGAGCAAAGACCGTGATTTCCTTCTCCCCCTCACCATGCGAGGAGTTCGGATCTTCGTTGAAGAATGTGTCGCTGTCTCCCAGCGTTAGCTCAGCCGCGGCTCCATGTAAGATACTAAACCTGGATTTGTTTTAGCTTTTGGGCACAGTCGCCTTTTATTAATTCATCACCATGTTAAAAGCCCACAGTCAGACAGGGCAAGATTAAAATGGATAGCGTAATAAAAAAGACTCTTGTGTGCAAATGCCACCTTGTTTGCTGTGTGTTCGGCCTCTGCTTCCAGCAGGCAGGCTATATTTTGGCGAACAAATCCCTCATCTCGGAGGGGCTTTGGTACTTGTAGCAGACAACCAAGTGTTTTCCTGGTGTTTCATCATTCATTCCCCTTCCAGGGCCAGCGGTAACAACATGCTCCTGGCCTCTGCCGTGGTGGTGTGGGAATGGATGAACGAACACGGCCGGTGGCGGCCCTACAGCCCCGCCGTCTCCCACCAGATAGAGGCGGCCATCCGGAGCAGCGACCCCCGCGGAGGGAGCGTGGTCCTCGGCCAGGTGGACAGCCGACTCTCGCCGTACATCATAGATCTCCAGTCCATGCACCAGTTCAGACAGGACACAGGTAAGACTGGGAGAGGGGAAGGTGCTGGGAGAGATGCAGGTGGAGGGAGAGGATGTACTGTGTAAACATGACATGGTTGGACTTTTTATTCAGGGTGGGGGGCCTCAAAACTTAACTTGTAATATATGAGAGTGCCACAACTGGCTTTTGAATTGAACTGTAGCATCTTAAAGTGTTGTGCACCACTGTACAATTAGTTTCTTTGGTATTTTTGTGTTGCTTGCTATTGGTCATGGCTTTTTTTTTTTATCTTCATGTCTCATTAAAAATTGGAATATTACGTGAGTTTCAGATGATATGACCATTAGCATAGCAAAGCACTTTGTATGTCTAGATCTGGGTCTAACCTAATGGGACAAATGTAGACTGCAATGCACCATGTCTTGGTCAGTGTAGCTAAATAGAAATGTGATCAGTGAGTCTCATTAACCAATACACATTATGGTGATAGTGAGCTATATCTGGGGACAACTGTGTTGAGTTTTGACTAAAATGTGGATTGAAAGAATGAAACGGTAAAACCTAGTTTGAGTTTCAATGTTGATCCAATGATCTATGTAGGTGCAGCTCTAAGTAGTGGCACAGATTAGAAAAGAAACTCCAATAGTTTTTTGTCAACAAAGTCAGCAGAGTGACTAGTATAGGCTGACTTGTTAACAACCCAATCCATAATTGTCCTCACCAATTAAAATTGAGCTACACTGGCATGAAACATTTTATTTCTAGGGGAAAAAATGTCATAATTGCACATATTGGCCACAACAGCAGTCATCATTGATGTAAACACAGCCATAATATCACCAGAAAACAATAATAACTTAGTAGTTTTAATTGTAGACTGTGTCAGTGATAGCAGGATCCAGTCCTGTTTTAACATATAGTGATAGGGACACTTTTTATGCTCACATTTGGATTGTAGCATAGAGCCTTAAAGTAAGTTTTAAGTGAGGTAAAAAATGCAGTGATGTTATAGAGAATTAATTTCTTCTCTGTAACATAATATAGTGGTTGGATAGTTTTCAATGAGCGAGAAATGATTGCCTCTTTTGATACCATTCATTCAGGTTACATAGGATCATAAACATTTATTTTAAAATGTACCTTATTTGTTGTGGAGTGGGTCATAGACCCTCTGGCAGGAATTGCCTTCTATGTAACCTAGTTGTATACAGGGCAAAGAGAAAGCAGTATCACAGTATCAGGTGCTATTTTACTTTAGATCAATATCTACTGGTGCTACAAATTATTCTGTTATGCACTGAAATTTCTAATATGTCTGTGTGGTGATCTGTTGATTTACTTGATGTAAAGACTTTTGTGTGAATTCTGTCAATTAGACAGAGAGACAGGGAGAGAGAGAGAGTATGAGTGTATGTGGTGGCTAAGTGTTGTGTTGAGATCCAACAGCATGATGATCTGGGGCAGCTGTAAATGACCACTTCACCACTGAGTTAGCAGCATTCTTTAGCTCTTATCCACAAGCGCTACACTCAGAAACACACACACACACACGTACACACTCACACAGGCGCACAGCAGCTGCACACCCCTCACATGAAAACAGAAACAGAAGACCCTTGATTCTGTGGAACGAATATTCAAGGCCTGATGAGCAGGGAGTCCACGTTAGTTGTCCTCTGTCTCTCCCCTCTCTCTTTCTTTGCCTCTTTCTGTTGTTGAAGTGTTTAGTTTCCCTCTCTCTTGTACAAGTGTTTAATTTTGAAAGTAGGCAAAAGTCCCAAGGGTCTTTCAGTTTTGGCATTGACATATTGTAGGATGAGTGTGTGTTGAGAAGGAGGGGTGGGGTGTGTGTGTGTGTGTGTGTGTGTCTCTGTGTGTGTGTGTGTCTCTGTGTGTGTGTGTGAGGGGGGGGTGGGGTGGGGGTTGCAGACGGAGTGAGATAGTCTGTATTCTGTCCCTCTCCTTTCCTCACTCTCTGTCTTTTGCCCCTCCACCATTGTTGGACTTTGTTGAACAGATGTGAGTTACTCCATTGTTGCCGTGAGACACACACACACACACACACACACACACACACACGAGGTGAAAGTCTGAGGGTTCAGAGGAGCAGAACAGACCTCTGTGGCAGAAGGGGGTTGTTGTTAGGTTTTGGGGCCACAGTTGTTACAAGTTCACTAAAGTGGAAGATGAAGAGAAGAAAGACAAAAAAGGGAGCAGTCAAATATAAAGTTGGGTACTGAGAGCCCTTTCCACTTGAGATCCAGTTTTGGGTCGGCAAAATACTAGGATTTACCCATCTCATATCAGATCCTTCATTTCTCCTAGCTCCTTTTGAATTTGCAAGGAACAATGTAGAAAGCATCCACATAGCAGGGTGAATGAACTTTTTTTCTTGTGCCAGTTTTGCATTTAATTTCTGTTAGATGTGGCAGACAGGAAATGTGGGGAGTGAGAGAGCTGTATAACATGAACCTTAATCATTTGGGTAGCATGGTATTCCAGATGTCTCTCACCCCAGCAATGTTTTCCAGCTCCTCCTTGGGGGTCCCAAGGTGTTCCAGGTTAGATGGGATATATAAAACTTCCAACAATTTCTGGGCAAAATGTGTTTGACTTTGCACCGAGAATACAGACACAGCTCTCACCTCGGAACCACCTCGGGATCCCCCAAGTGGGAAGAAACATTGCTGGGGTGAGGGACCTCTGGAATACTCTGCTACCCAGCTAAATGATTAAGGTACATACCATATAATTTCCAGCTTGTTTCATGTTATTTGGTTTAAAGAGGACCGGGTGGCTCATAGCAATTGTCCTGGTACCCCATACTTCCACAGTACACCCAAAGGATGTCCCTGGGGCACACGGTTGTAAGCCTTCTCCAAGTCCACAAAACACATGTAGACTGGTTGGTCAAACTTCCCTGACCCTGCAAGAAAAAAAGAGCTTGTCCGCTGTTCCACAGCAAGGCCGCAATCCACATCGCTCCTCCTGAATGTGAGAAACGACAGACAGTAGATTAACTTCCTGTCTACAGTCCTACAGCTTTAGCTTCACTCTCACTTACAATTACTCAGGAGAGAGGTGTTCCAGGTTAGATGGGATATATAAAACTTCCAACCCCAAATGTATATTATAATATATCTTGTCCCTTATGAATGTTTTGCTGACTCAATACACTCCAAATACGCTTCTGTTTTCATAAAACAATAGCAGGAGAGTTATGCTTAAACCAGTTATTAATTATGGAAGATTGAAAAATCACATGAACTAGCTTTGAGGTTGGAAAAATGAATCCCACACTGTCAGCAAATGCCTAACCCTATTCAAACTAACTAAATGTAAACAACTTGGTCTTTACCAAGACAAGGGTGTGACCTTTGAAATAAAAATATGCTTAGGTAAATGCAATTGTTGACGTGCTGGTAAAGTGGGAGATACATATTTTGTTTTACTTTAAAGACAAATTTGTCATGGGTTTCTTTGAGGGGCATTTTTCAGAGTTTGAGGGCATCTTTGTCCATGCTCCTGCAGCATGTTCTTCCTCTCGTTTCAGCTGCTCCTGCTGAAGGAGTAACATTCCCAGACCCCCACAACACCCTGTGGCTTTAGGGTCATGGTAGAAGGGGGTAGGGTTTAGATGGTGGACTCCCTAGAGACGAAGAGGAGGAGGTGAATTGTAAAGACAAGAAAGGGGAACCAAACATTATCCCTGACTATGTTACCATGCACAGCAACCCAGGTTATAGGGGCAAAGCAGGTTATAACAGAAGGTTTAGAAGTTTCCATGCACGGCAGTGATCTGGTTACTGTAAAATCTGCACTTACATGTTCATGTGTTTTTAAGATGCTTCCTTAAGGTTAAGGCTTACAGTTCCTTAAGGTTTTTTGGCCCATACTGCAGGCTGTAGTTAAAGAGCACACAGGTTTTCCAGAGAGTGAACAAAAAAAAGTGAAAGTGTTTGAGAAAGGTCAGCTGTCTGCATGTGACAAACCTGAATTCTAGGAGCTGATATTCTCAGTTTTATTGTCAGTGTCAGTCTTGGTGCAACTTTGGATTGAATAATTTAGAATACAAAGATGCACCTCCGGGATTTCCTTTCACATTGCTGCACTGCTGTTAATGCTAGGCCAGGTGTTCATCCTCATGTCCTCAATATGTTCTTTTTTTGTACTGACGTAAGTGTGTACATAGCAGAGAGATGAGACTGAATTAAACAATGAAGTTGCCGGCTGTAAAACCAAAACAAGGTTAAAGAGGATTTTAAAAACTCAATACTATTGAGTGGAACTGCAGAGTTGTGTGATAATGTTCTGTTGGTTTATCACTAAGAGTGACTCCTTTCACATTACACATTTGACCTGTTGTGAATAAATTATAGAATATTTATTCGTGCAGCATTAACTTTTAGCCTATTGCATTTAGAAGATTTTTATGACCTTTTGTGTTAATATTTAACATTGCGGAGGTTGTTTACCTTTGTTAAATAAATAAAGGGGTTTTGTAGAAAGCATAACTACAGGCCTCAAAACATAGCATAATTTATTGTATTTTGTATAAGCCTTGGTATTGTATCAGCATTCATTAATAATGAAAAGTTTAAGTACCCAGCCCTGAGGTCTTATGTATATGCACTGTTATATAAACTCCATTTGAAATCTTTTTTTTTTTTTTTTTAAATTGGTGAAATTTAGCATACAGCATACACATTAGCTTACAGAGGAGGACACATTAGCCTGGTTACTGAAGTGCATGTAAATGTGATGTGTGTAGAAATGCTTGCTAATTTATCGGTCCCTGCAGAATTTTGCAAAATGCTTTTATGCCTCCGTGCCGGTGGCGGCCTAGTCCTTCCCATTCTCTTGAACATGATGAGAATTTCTTCAGACTTGGACCACTTGTCTGATGTAATAATAATTAGATCCAAAAGGTCAAAGATCAACTTCACCGTGATGTCATAATGTTAACACTTCTGGTCATTTCAACACTGTACAACACTCCTCAGGAAGGAGAGAGATTGTGACCATGTTTCCTGCAACTT